AAACACATCATAACAAACATCAGAATACTAATATAACTGGAGGGATCACATACACTACTAGTTCCCTGGTCTTATCTCAGCCTTCCTTGATTCGAGTACGGATCCTCTGCTTTCAGTAGTACGGGCCCATACTACCTTCCACATCTATCCGTACTTTCCTCAAGAACTACCTCGACTCCACCAAGTCCCTTCTACTACTACTACTGTTGATCTCATACTAAACTCTTCCTAGGCTTGCCCTAGGGTAATCACCAACCCACTATCCGCCATCAGCTGCATAAGAAGTCCCTTCTTTCTTTCACTAACTAGCTCACGAATACTATTACATATTACTCAGACTAGATAATTCTTCGAATGAGAGATCCTACTCTACAACGGTTGGACTCAGACAAGAGCTGCGAAATAGAGCTAGACTTAACCTTCTAAAATTATTTAGTCATTGCAATATGCAACGTAACATATTCGTTTACTACTTAGTGAAAGATAACTAAGACTCCTAAAAGCACAAAGAAAGCGGCATTCGAGCATCGAGTACACATAATCAAGCATCTACTACTCTGGCTACTCTGGCTATCATACTGACTAATCTGTACTAGCATGCAGTTCTCATAAAGCTGAACACATATAACATAAACATAAGGCATCCTTCCTAGATCCTTAGTCCTAATCTAGCATGCTGTTCTAATAAAGCTAATAATCATAACATAGCATAAACTTGTATGGGTAATTTGGGAGTACTTACTTGAGCTCGACTGATTGCATGCACCACACCCTTTTCTCTTTTCAAGGTTCTTTTCTATTATCAAAATCCTTTTGTAAAAATGATTTTCTTTTGAAAGTTTCATACCACTTCCTTAGTTTGAGTTCAGACACACCCGAAAGTGTGCCCGAATCCCTGAAACCAAGGCTCTGATACCAACTTGAAACATTCCAAGAATACTAGCCCAAAATTTCGATTTCAAAATCATTTAACAAACATAAATATCATCGCCATAGTATAAAATCATAAAACATGTATCTCACAATCTCAAAAAATCTATCATCATATCACAATCTCATATAACACATCAGAGTAAACTCCCAGGCTAAGAAAATTGTGGTGTGTGCCATGCCATTATCTTGAGCCCTTTCCCTTGCTAGCTGAAGTACCTGAAACCAAAATTGAAACTGTAAGCACGAAGCTTAGTGAGCTCCCCCAACCTACCACCTACCATACAAATCACGTATATCAAATAACATAACTCTGGGACTACTCCCAACTACATCGGAACAAATCCCGGCATCGGCTTACCCGGTATCGAACTCCTGTCCGGCATCGGGCTCACCTCGGCATCCGACCGCATCAGGCATCGGGCTCACCCCGACACATACACAACATAACATATATCATAAACATATAATATGCATCAGGACTGCCCTGGCATCGGACCGAAGCCCGGAACACATAATCATAACATATAAACTAGCATACATCGGGCTTGCCCCGGAACATATAACTCATGGCATAATAATTAACATACATCAGGATTTCCCCGGCAACGGGCTTACCCGAAACACATAACACATAACACATAAACATGCATGAATCACAAAGACATCAGGCATACGTAACTACTTCTCGGGACCGCCCTGGCATCGGACCGAGGTCCGGAACATATAAACTGCATCGGGCTAACCCCGGCATCGGGCTCACCCCGACATACTCTAACACTTAAATGGGTCGGCATTGTGGCCGTAGACCCGTTCCTACTGGAAGGAAACTCACCTCGTATGGCTGACTGCTGAAAAACTGGGTGAGGGATCCCTATCTGCTGCTCCGGCGACTCTCCGGCTATAATTCCATAACAACACTTAATCAAAAACTGATAATCCTTATTAGGGTAAAATGACCATTTTACCCCCTGGTCAAAGTCAACGTCCTGACCAAAGTCAACCTTCTGAGTTGACTTACTCGCCGAGTCACCCTATGACTCGCTGAGTCCTCATGCTAACTGACATCGCGACTGGTCGAACTGACTCGTCGAGTCGTCCTTAGACTCGCCGAGTCCTAGCGTAATCAGGAAAGGGACATATCAACTCTAACTCGTCGAGTCCCTTCATAGACTCGTCGAGTTCTTCAACTTTCGTGTCCAAGTCCTGTTCCACCCACTGAGTCACCACTCCACTCACTGGTCCTACTCCAAATCAGAAAAGGAGTTAGGGTTCACGACCCAACTCGCCGAGTCCGAGAACAACTCGCCGAGTCCTCCTTGTGACATATCCATTCAGTCGATTCTAATCCATTTCAATGCTTCCAATACATAGATCTTGACTCCCTAAGCTAGCATTACACATAAAGTTGCTAACTTTACGTTCATGCATGATGATATGGAGCTTAAACACCAAGACATAGCCATAAATGGAGGTTAAATGCATAGAATGGGGACATGGTCAAATAAAGGTGGCAACTTTAAGCTTCTGGAGCTCATGAGTGTCTAGATCTGAAGTCCTTACATCCCCAAATGCTCACTATTTGAAAATGGACTTGGAAATGGCTCAAAAGTGGCAACAAACAAGCTTTCATGAAGATCTAAGTGAAAATAAGCCAAGGTATAAGCTTTATACCTTCAAAGTTTTTGAAATGCACTAGAAGCTTCGGATCTACTGCCTCTTCTTGAATCACCAAGGGTTTCCTTCCTTCTCCTAACTTCAATCACACAAATATAAGGAAAAATGGCTCAAGGATGCACAAGATTGATTAGGGTTCTGAGAGTAGGCTGTGAAGGTGATGGGGGCTAGGGTGAAGACTCATAATGTTGCTTAAATAGGGTGCAAACCCCAAGGATTAGGGTTTCCTCCTGATGGACCTACTCGTCGAGTCCATTCCTGACTCGTCGAGTAGTCCACTTAAACCCCGCGATTAAACTGGCCTCTACTCGACGAGTTAGGGCTACCAACTCGTACTAACTCGTCGAGTAGCTCTTATTAAATGAGCATTTAATGAACTAAATACATACCGGGAACGGGGCGTTATAAAAGGCGACAAATATCTGATAATATTTGTTAGGTAATAATTACAATTTCATTGTAATCTTATCTAGATTTAGATTGTAACTCTTATAACAATCACTATCCCTAGAAGAAATTTGTGGAATGTGACTAAATCACTCTAAATATATCATTGGTGAGACTATCTGCTAAGATTACATTAATTTACCCATGTATGTTGATTGTCTAGCATCGTCTAAACTTTCAGGCTGAGACTATATGGTCCGTATCAGAAGTATCCTTATGTGGCATGTGTGTTCCTATTATTTAATTCACTCTTTCTAGATCATGTCCCTAGAAGCATGCTAGCAGTATGTAACAAGTCTCGTGTTCTGCTGAAATATAAAGCATAACCCCATGGCTCACACTGATAGCATTTTTTATTGTTTGAGAGAAACTTGTCTAATCCTCAAAGATAAAGATTATCTTGGTCCATGAGCCTTTCTTTTAAAACCATAGATTGGGTATGACACACCATGCACTTGATTTCCATAACCCCTTTCTATTGTTACCATAGACTGGGATATAACATTAGCAACACCTTTTCCGTGACGTTTATGATCTTCCTATTAAACCAAAGGTAAGTGAGAAACAAAATTCATTTCAAGTCCGTGACCTTTTCTATTATCACCATAAATTAGGTATGACACCATCCATCATTTCCTGGTAAAATGTATTACAGTAACAACATGATCACTCACTGATGGTTCTATAAAGTTTCTGATGAAATCTCTTACGTTGTTATCTAACTCGCAGATTCTCTATTATGTTTGACGTTGATTTGTTCGAGATGTATTAATGATCACTTTTCAGAAATTATAAGGATTGTGATAATTAGTTTTGGGGATCACACAAATTCAGACTACTTTTCCTGACATCATCATTACCATACATCACAAATTTCGAAAATGTTTGAAATTCCATCCCACATATATACATATTTCCTTTTCGATTCACCACTTTTTTGTCTATCAGAAAATCCTTGTTCCCAAAATATCTCTGCACACAAACCCTAATCCTCAACAATTACATCCATGAATCTTTACACAAACACTCCTACTACAAATGTTCTCAAGCCTCCTAATACTCCAAACACCCAAATTATGATCAAGGCAATGAACGTCTATGCATCGTATGTTATTACCAAAAATTTCAAGAACAAGGGCCTCAAAGAGTTCATCCGATTTCTGGAATCACATCATCTTTGATATGTCTTCATTGATTATCCATCAGTCTTCTTCGCAAACCACATTTGTGAGTTTTACTATTCTTGCACTTACGATTGAAGATCTCATACTATGACTGGAATGATTGGGAAGGGCGGTTATGAAATTCTACTCACCGTTGAAACTGTTAGCGATGCCCTTTGCCTTTCCAACTATGCTTATTTTTCTTATGTTCCAAAAGTAGAAAAGTATCGAACTATTCTTCTAATATTAGGGTGATCTTACCTTACAAGGTTCTTGACATGGTCTTCGAAATTTTCTTCGTCAATGTCTTCCTCTCGGCTGGAAATTTCTCATAGGAGCCATCGGAAAATGCCTAGGGCACAAAACTAGAAGCCTCGATCAGTTGAATTTGTTGGAACTCAGGATCCTTTATGCTATGTTAAAGAACAAAAGTATTGATTTTTTTGAAACTCATCTTTGATTAGTTTTTTTATCGATCACCGGAAAGAAACGATCCACATATGTGACTCATCCAAGATTGATTGGCACATTTTTTGAAGTTCATTAGGCCAGGGTATGCTAACTCTATTGAATTTTTAGTCTCACTGCTATCATCCAAGATTATCAATTTTTCTCTTGGTCCAAGATATCCACTTAGTACTCAGTGGATGACTCATTGGCTTCATCATCCATAAACTGCTGATTGTCGTGTTTATGAACCAATTGTCGATCAACTTATTAACGAATTATCCAGTGAAAAATTCACTGAACTTGCTAGTGAAGATGATGTTGATAATTTAGAGAATGAAGGTGAAGAATAAGAAGTTCAAGGAGATGATAACTATGAATACACTGATACTGACGAGGGATATGTCGGGTATGACACTAACTCACTGTAGTCATCGGAGTCTCCTAAAATCACCACTCTCCCTATTCCATTCAGTCAATCAGGGCCTCCTCGTCCCAAAAAAACACATCTACTTCAAGTCTTCATCATCCTCCGATGGTGCTCAGGTAAAACCCCGTCTTCTACTTCAGAATATCATGAAGGTATGAGTATCGATTCCCCTATTCAAACTAATAGACCATTTGTTCATACTTCTCCACCACGTGTTCAACCTGATCCTATCCCATCTACTTATGTGTCTACAATTAACACCCATATTATCACAACCCCTAAGACCCTGATTGGGTTAGCTAATACATTTTCCACCTATATGGAACATCTTGAAATTGATGTTACTGCGTATAAACGAGTTATGTTACCTCCTAATAATCATACTTTCTTTCAACCACACCACCAGATTATCCTTCACTACGCTCCTTTACACCATCACCTCCCCAACCTCCTTTTAATCCTCCACCTCCTCCTACACAACCTTGTACTGGCGCCCCGCCATCTGGTCCTTGTTATGATGCAAAAAGGGGGATAATATATCCGAAGGGGGTGTTAATCTAAATAGGGATCAATTGGTTCTAAATCTACTTAAACAATAGTAGCTGAAGATACTAAAAACGAAGAGAGTGATGATGAAGAAAGAAATTATAATGAGGAAGCTCTCTTTGATCTGTCCTTTCTTGAAGACTCCATTCATGATAAACCAATTTATATAATTTGCCAAGTACTAATCAACATGAAGGGGAATCTCAACGGCATAGGGATCAATCTGCTCAAGGGGAGCCACAATGTGATAGGGAGCATAACACAAAATCATCAACCTCTGAATATTTTGAGGATCTACATCCTATCTCCTCTTTAAGATCCAGAAAAAGAGTAGCATCTACTTCTCCTCCCTTTGATGTTGAAAAATGTGTTAAAATGATTTCCTCCTTCAGTTAAAAGGCTATTGAGTGGCAAATAACTAAAGATGAAGTTACAGCACTGGCTTCTAAACACAACCTGGTCATGACTAATAAGACAATTCATATGTATGATGATAAGGTTGTTCAAAGGATGGTATCTACTGAAGGAAATCAAGATTATCAAAAGGAAGTATTGCTCGAGTTTAATGCATTGGTCGAAAAGAAAAAGAAGTTTGATGATGTGAATACGAAGATCAATCTTTCAAAATATGTTGATATATTCACCAGAAGGTTATCTATGTTGGGTTTTTATTCAAAATTAGTTTTAAAAACATGATATTTGGCTGTGGAAGACTTGATCATTTGAATAACATAAAACAAGTTTAAACCCACCAAGGATCATCTTGCAAGTTGTAAAAAGATTAAATACCAGCCAAAGAAGAGATGAAGAAATAACAACCTTTGAAGTTCCTAGGCTCTCCTAGGATTCCACCCACACCTCCTCTGCCATCAGATGCTGAAGAACCCCTACCAATGCCAGCTATTACATGCAACAAAGCTTAAATAATCCTTTGACTAAAGAACTCAACCCTACAACGGTTGGACTCAGACAAGAGCTGAGCAACATGACCAAGTCCTTCATTCTAAGATTATTTAACCCCCATGGAATGTAATTTAATGTATTCATTCGATGGTTAACTCTCATCGACATGGGTCCCACAAAGCACAAAGCAAGCAACATTTGAGCAGAGGAGTCGACTTGCACTAAAACACGATAAAATCAGACAGATTCTCATACAACTCTCGATCTTCAATTCCCAGCATCTCGAGTGCACATTCGCCTTGACCTCACTCTCTCAAGAGTGACTAATCATTCCTCACGCTGACCCGCTATGAACCACACCCATTCTAAGGAAACCACTACCTCCTCATCCAATAATGCAACTAGCCGGTTGATCCCACACGACTCACCATACCACTAACTTCCACGCGACTCTCCATTGGTGCTAGATGACTATCGCATGAATACAATCACATGCCCCACAATTTAAACAATATTAGGCTAAAAGATTCAATCCCACAACGGTTGGACTCAGACAAGAGCTGCACAGCAGGACCAAACCCCTTATCCTAAGATCATTTAAACCATACATCATGTGACTTAGCGTATTCACTCAATAGCCAGTTCACACGCGAAAGATTCATAAGACAATCAATCAATGATTCTATAAGGGATAATGCATCATATAATCAGTCAATTCTATCATGCAATTCCTGAAGATCTGATATTTTATTTTATTTACTTCTTTTTATAGTTTGTTTTAGCATATTTCATTTATATTTTAGTTAATTTCCATGCATATTTTCCTTTTTGTTATTTTATGACCACTTCCGGGTACTTTCGAATTTCGTGAGCATAATTGCAGGTTTTTGAAATCTAGTGAAGCGGGAATGTTCGAGACTTATGGGAAGTTGTTGGATTTGGAGGATAAAAAGGATTTTGGACTTAATAATTATGGAGATGATGCATGGAATGGGATTGTCAATTACTTGAAGGTTCGGAAGAATTAAATTTTAAATTTGCAAGATGCGGAAGAATTTTCAAGTGTGCGGAGATTGATGATCGGGCGATTACGGAAGTTATGGATCGTTTAGAAAAAGGCTAATTGGGCTTAAAATGAAGAAATCTTGCAGAAAAATAGGCTAGAAGCTAATCAGACTCGAACTGGGCCAAATGGTTAAGCTGTGGAGGCCCAACAATTGAAGAAGTCCAACCTCCGTCACTTTTACGCGGCCCGCATGGAATCCTGTAGGGGTAATTTTCGGATTTTAATTGGAGCTCTATATGGGGAAGGTTGGTGTGCCACTTTTCTCAACTTTTGCACATCTAAACTTGGGAGCATTCACTGGAGATTTTGAAGCATTTTGAAGAGCAAGAACCTTGAAGAACTTCATCTTTTCACCTCTTAATCTTGTTGAATGTTTGGTACAAAACATTGGTTGACTTTTGTGGAATCCTTTGAACTTTTGTTGAATGTTGAAGACTCCATGAACTAGTTTTGAATCTTTATGAGAATGTTTTATGTTTTAACATCTTATCACTATTTGTATGTTTTTATTCATGAGTTTAAATGTGTTTGTGGTGATTAGTTGGCTAATTTCAGATTCAGTAAAGGATCCTCAAATTAGCAAGCAACAAATGATTTTTGTGTTAGTTTTGCTTCACACAATCATAAAACCATTTTCTCCAACATGGTAGTGAAAGTATTTGACTCCTCTCGGATTTAGTGACTTTTTGGTTCTTAATGCTAGTTGACTTTCACTAATTACATGCTTAATGGAAATTGTGACTCTGACTAAGAAAATTGTTATGAGCTTCTCTAACCATTTTAACAACTAAGAAAAGTCTAGGTAATCTCAAGCTTCTTGGATTACTATAGCCAAATTAAAGATTTAAAACAAGTATTGCACCATTGGATTCTAATGATATGTTCATCAGTCAAAGTGAGGAAACCTTAAGTCAACCATCTTTCTCTTATTGTTTTCAGATCAAACTCTTGTTTTTGTTGAAATTGTCCATTTAAATCTTAGTTTAATTCTAGTTTATTTCAAGTATTTTAAAAGATCAAAACCCCCCATTTTTATTTTTATTGTTATTTTACACGTATTTTTACAAAGAGATTTTCATAGAGTTATAAAATTGAACCAATCTCCGTGGATTCGACCCCTTTACCACTATACACTATTTTAGTGTAAAAGATTTAGGGTTATTAATTTTGTTGGCCTCGACAACCACCAAGATCCCTAGCCTATCACTAGCATGATGTTCAATCATATCACAAGATCAAATAACAGTGTGGTAATTTGGGGTCTACTTACTGGCTTCGGCTGATCGTACACATCGCATCCCCCTTGATTATTTTGAAAACAATTTGAAAATCACTTTTAAAATCTTTTTCTTTAGTTTGAGACTAGATTCACACAAGTGTTCCTCTAATTCATTCAAACCAAGGCTCTGATACCAACTTGTAACATCCCAAAATTTCAACAATTTTTAAACTTTTCAAAATGACCCTTTTACTAATAAAGATGTTTACAAAATTAGTGTTCTCAAAACATTATTTAAAATATAATGCCTCCCAAGATCAATGACATAAAAATCAGGATGTGCACGGTCACGCCTTCGCCTTGCCACGATTTTCTAAAATACCTGAAACCATAAACCAAAAACTGTAATCACAAAGCTTAGTGAGTTCCCCCTAAGTACCAACACACAACAGATAACATATACCACAAACAGCATACAAGAAGGGACTTTAGCATGATTGGAATGCCCCACTGGCCTACGGTCTATCTGGTACGCCCACAGAGCCTTCAGTCTGACTGGAACGCTCCACCGGCCTACAGTCTATCTGGTACGCTCACAGAACCTTCAATATGACTGGTATGCTTCACCGGGCCTTCAGCCTATCTGGAACGTCCTCTGGGCCTTCGACCTGATGGGTACGCCCTACTGGCCTTCAGTCTATCCGGGACGCCCTGGGTCTGTTGGCCTTCAGCACATAGTAGGACCGCCTCAACCCAACCACAAACAACATTTCAACATATACACATCCAAAACACATATAAGCCCAACAAATCATAACAACATATTGATATAAACATTACAAGGTTTGTTGAATGATGGCATAAAGCAGTACAGTCTCAACCCACCCACATCACGGCAACATATAACCAGTCAACAGACAATCAAGCAGATCTTACAGACCACTAAGCATAGCATCATCCTATCTACCAGGATATAGGTCTAACAGATCACTACAGTACTCAATCATATGATAACCAAGATAATAATCCAAAGGGGTCGGCCTTGGTGCCTTCGACCCGTAAGTACAGTGAGGAAAAATGACCTCGACAACTGAACCCACGAATAGACCTATGACCGCTGATCCGCTAGAATCCCCGCGCTATCAAACAAATAACGCCCAATTAACAGTTGGGTTCCGAACCAAATCCAATAATCCATATATATGGGGTAAGAAGACCATTTTACCCCTCATCTAGTTTGGTCCAAGACTAAGGCCCAAACTCACAATCAAAAGGCCCACAAAACCAAATAATCATCCAAAGCCCACTTATGGCCCAATTTTCCAAATTGGGCCCAAACCCTTACTTGGGCCTTACCAAAACACATATTATCAAATGAACCAACAATGCCCAAAAACAACCAAGCCCAAAAGATTCCCAAACCCGAAATGACACCATAAGGCCCAATAAGGCCCAACTATCCAAATTGGGCCCAAACCCATCATGGGCCTAACCCAAGAAGACCCAATCATCCAAAAAGGCTCAAAATAAACAATGGTCAAACCTGGACAAACTTCTGGTCATCACTCCATGGACAACAAGTCAACAAAACAAGAAAAGCCCAACAAATCGAGTACGCCCCACGTACTCAGCTGGTACGCCCAGGGTACACCCTTCAGGGCCAGTACGTGTAGCGTACTAGATGGGTATGCCCAGAGTACTCTCCTGAACCTCAACCTTCTTCATTAAGCACTTAACCACTTAAGTCTTTGCCTCAAATTCCCAGATCTAATTCCCAAGGATGACTTATCACGTAAAGTTGGCAACTTTACTTGCATGCATGACTTAATGGGGCTCTAGAGCTCAAAATAGCTTAATGCAGGGTCTTAACACATGCATGAGTCCATATAAACCATAAAGACCACATTTATATGCCTTTAGGACACCTAAAACGTCCAGATCTACAAGATCAATCCTCTGAAACAACCTTAGCTCACAAGGACCAACCAAAGAGGCTAAAAGGACCAACCAAAGAGGCTAAAATGACCATAATCAACCCCAAAAGAGGATCTAACCAAAAATATGACAAGATCAACGTTTTTTACCTTCAAAAGATTGCAAAAGATGGAAAACTTCTGGATCTACAAGCTCCCTTCCAGGTGATGATTCTTCAACAAGCTCCAAGCTCTTCAAAGTGCACAAAATACTCCAAAATCCTTGACAATGACTTAAATGCTCCAAGATAGAGGCTAAGGTTCGAATTTTAGGGTTTAGGAGGCTTAGAGATTAATAAAAGATGAGGCTCATGAAAGAAATGAGGTTTAAATAGGGTCAAGGACCAAAAATTAGGGTTTTGTGGCTGAAGGGAGTACGCCTCGCGTACCCTTTGGTACGCTCGGCGTACTTAAGGACCACCCGCGACCAATCTACTCGGTACACCCCGCGTACACACCTAGTACGGCCCACATTATGGCCCTCCAAAACACTCAAACTTCATTCGATCATAACTCCTTCGTCCTAAGTCCGTTTCCAACGAACTTTATATCCACAGAAAGGTGACGAGAAGCCCTATGCTTCTACCAACTCACCCTTGCCTTCAAACTTCCTGAAAAATAATCCAAAATTAATAAAGGCCCAAACTAATAAATTACGATTATACCCTTGGGCTCTAAAACGCCATCGAACACTCGGATCACTTATGCTATAACACCCACTTCCAAAAAGGGCCAAATCCTTTCTTCCCCAAGTCCCAAGCCTCATGAAAGCTGATGATTTGGGCCACAACCCCGAATAATGAAGCAATCTGAAACCGAGTGTTACAATTGCTCCGGGAAGACCTGTGAGGTCACAACAGAGAGAACCGTCAGCCGTTCTCCGAGAGGAGCTCCCAGGAAAACGCTCTGACGGTCAAGTCAGTGATTGAACTGAGGGTGTATGGTAGAGCTAGGGAGGAGCAACTTACCCTTTGAGGTGGCCGAGGAGGCCTTTTATACTGATGCCTCTTGAGGATCCGTACGGGGACAAGGTCGCCAGGTCCGATAGGATTCAGTGCCTTTATTGGCTAATCATGCTCCTTGTTGTGTCAAAGCGAACGATTGGTTTAGGTGGTAATTCTCTGAGCATACTCCTTATCGCTTGAATTCGTTGGGTTTGTCGCGAGGTGGAAGGTGCCCGTTGAGGACCAAGCCTTCCGCGCGGACGTCGAGCTCTAAAGGGACATCCGCGGGCGCGAGACTTCGTTGGGGTAACTACATTGGGAGTAGCTTGGCCTATCGGCCTGGAGGTGTTCCTAGCGTGACTGAGCGCGACTTCTAGCCCGTGTTAGGGGGCACATTATCACTAATTTTAAACCAAAAATATTCAACAATATTAAAAATAACATTTAATTTTGAAATCACACTGCAATAACATAATTTAAAACCACACTACAATAATATAAATTAAATCCTAAAATGACAAACGAATTAACAAAAAAAAAAAAACCATACAATCGACAAACGAAAACTAAAATAAATACTTACATTCTAAAAGAAATGATGATTTTTTAAAATATTCTAAGTCGTCTCGTAACGAAAATCTTTCATGTTATGTTGTTTGCGATGCTTATTTTGTGTTGCCTTTAAAACTTCTTCGTCGGAAACTCCGGGCTCGTGGGTATTCATCTTGTGCCAGAAAATAACATTAAATTCTTTCACTTTTCCCTGCAGATCTTTCCATTTTGAAAAAAAATGATGTATTGAACGATCTATCCCCCCCCCCCAAGTTGTTTGCTTAAAATGATCAAGAACCGATCACCAGAAATATGACGATCTATGTTGACTCACGTTCCTATTCTAGATAGTGTCGATGCATGCAATGTATGCTCGAGCCAACATCACTTCTTCGATCTCAGACCATTCTACAGACATAATTTGATCTAGGAATGACATTCATTTTCAAATTTTAAATTGGAATGTAGAGAGAACATAGTAAAATGGAATGAAACTGAAAAAAAAAAACAAAAAAAAATTGAGAAAGTAGAGGAGAATAGAATGGAATTGAAAGGAAACGTGAAGTTTTAAATTAGTATGTAAAGGTATTTATAAGAGAAAATTTTAATTTAAAAAATACAAAAAAAGTGAAGCAGTTGAGAGGATTCACGGGTTCCTCAGCTTGTGTTGCATGCCAAAACTCCAACTCGTTGTGCAACGAAACGTCCCCTACGATACCACCGGTACCTCATACTCTTTTTACTTGTGAAACTGGTAACTAATATTTTTTTAATAGGTCAAAAAAGATTTTATGCCTATAGAATGCCAAAAAAATAACATAAATGACCTTTTAAAAAAAACAAAAAATTTATTGGTCTAGAGGAACATTAATCTATAAATTTATAACAAAAGCAAGTACTTCTAATACTAATAGAACTGATGAGAATGAAAATACCACTAAGAAAAAATACTAATTTTTTTAGTGTCAAAAGCCTTAGTTTTTTATTTTGTTCGGAGCCTCTTATGGATTTGGACCGAAAATAAATGGTTTAAGAAGCAAGCACGGAAGTGGCGAATAGCAGCGGGCCGGGGGAAACGGTGGATGAAGCTCGGTGGAGACTTTACTATTCATGATTTGTAAATTACAAGTGCAAGTGGTGACCGGTATGGACGTGAGCCTGTTTCAAAAAAAGTATGTGGTACAAAGTGGACAAAATCCAAATCTTCAAGGACTACAACATAATTACCTGGATTCTTTTACCAGCAAGGATCCGCCGATAGGAACCAGTTGGAAGCGATTCAAGAACGCAGCCTTCGTCTTCCGCTTCAGTTCACTTTGAAAATTCAGGTCGATCTGCCGCTACTTTACATATCAGAGGTGAATTGATTTCACATTCTTATTTTTCTTCTCCCCAATTTCTGAATCTACAAAGTAGAATTACTTTGTGGCGAGACAAGCTGTAGCGATTTGTGCATACTAATTGTTCGACGAAATGCCTCACTAGACTTTTTTCAAATTACAGGAATTAATTTCCAAGTGTTCCCATTTTATGATCAGTCATCGAAGATGAGTGGACTGTACGATGGATGGAATGAAATTCTAAAGATTCAGAAGTTCCGGAGAACGGTGGGATACACTATTTTCTTTTCTTTCTCGGCGCTCATTAGCTATGCCTACAACTCCAACACGTACGTATACTGTTACTGTTATTGATTTCATATGCCACCCAAATATCTAAATATTTGATAGTTTTACATTGATTAGTTATTACTCAGACAAATTAATCGTTCCCTAATCATATGAATTTGTTGGGTTTTATAATTCGTCTTTCCCTTTTTATTTCAGGACAAGAGCTGGATTCTCAAGAGGTGATCAGTTTTATGCATCTTATCCTGCAGGGAGTGAGCTTTTGACTGATACTACTAAGGTAAGTTGTATATTATTATACATCAAAATCAAAATGGGTTAATTGTTTGTTTATTGGATTTGTGCTTTTGTTTGTGGTTAGTTGTATAAATCTGCACTTGGGAATTGCTTCGAAGAGGAAGAATGGGGCCCGATTGAATGGTCTGTAATGGCCAAGCATTTTGAACGTCAAGGGAAATCACCATATGCGTATCACGCTGTAAGTAACTTGAACTTTATAAGTAGTTAATAAGTTGAATATGATTATAACTGTTTGTGTGTTGGGTTTTGTTTTTGTAGCAATATCAGGCTCACCTTGCTTCTAATGGAAATCTTGATGGAAGTGGCTAGAATGTAGCATCCAGCAGGAGTAGGAGTCACATGTATTCATGGAGCATTTGCAATTTCATTAATACTAATATTAAAGAAGCCTGGTACTTATGAGCTTATGATGAATTGTAATACATCAATGGTGTAACGTTGTGATCTAGGCGAATGAGTTTTTATTGTTACTTTTGGCCACTCTTTCTTGCAAAAATATTCCATAAATTAGTTTTTTTTATTTTTTTTACTTACTATGTTTGAATCATGGCGGAAGAGGTACAATGTGTCTTGAATGTTATTGTAAAAGGTATGACTGTACCGAGAGTGGTCATGCTGGAGAAGGGCGTGGTCTCCGACCACCTCACCATCAGCCAAGCCACGATGACGCTGGAGAATGGTTGGTATCAACGCCATCACACCAGAAAAGGAGGGGAGAGAGAGAGAGAGAGAGAGAGAGAGAGAGAGAGAGAGACCAATAAATGTTCACGTTGTTTAACTGGACACATTACGACCACACCCTAGGCGTGGTTTGTACTCCCTACGGTTTTTGTCTTGCATCAGATGTGAAGGAGTAAAGGAGTAAAGGTTCATTTTAATTTGAAACAAAATGACTACAAACATAATGGGAAGATGACAAAAATAGCCACTTTCCTAATCATTTTCCACCAAATAACCAAAAATTTAGAAAAAGACATTTTTAACCAACAAAAATAACAATCGAAGTCAGCTAACTTGCGATTTCATTAGCACGCCTGCGATTTCGTTGTTTCAACTAGGGTTTCATGTTTGCTATAAAAAATCATTTTGCCCATTTTCAGCCCATACAAAATCTCAGGTGGTTTATGGCCATCTACGATTTCCTCTCTGCTCATCTACGGTTTTATGTTGATTTTTCCTTTGTTTTAATATACTAGGCTTTTATTTGGATTACGATTTCGTACATGTTGATCGCAATTGTACAAGCCTTTAATGGAAAATTTATGCATTACAAACTTGTACAATCATAGATGGTCATGCCATATGTGATTTTGTCTCTAACTTTTTCTAAACAACGGACATAATAAATACAAATTACTACTAGGTTTTAGCCAATATGATAAAATACTAACAAAAAAGATAAAGATAAGAATACTTACAAAATTGTTAATAGGTAAATTCGTCTTCGGCCATCAATTTTTTTTTATCCTTGAAACAGAAAAATGAGGTAAAACAGTCTTTTCTGTTTCGAGATTTTTATACATAGATGTAAATATATTTTTGTTACTTTATTTTGTATTTATGGTTTCGAAGTATTTGCCTCATCATATGAAGGCTCCTTCGAAATCTATACATGCTGTAGATCATGCATGTGTGTATCATATCGTATCTCATAGAATATTTTTTGTTGAGATTTGCTTACGTATTATGCTCCACATACCAATATTTCATTAATGTTGACTGTCTTACCCACCACCTTTTGTAACTGTATATATAGTTGTGTGAGGCCCTAGGATTAGTGTGCATCCACCATCATATTTGCTTGTAATCATTCGTGTTTCCCTGCTTATGTTCATCATGAACATTTGAGCTTGTTGCAATCAACCAAGTATTGAAACGTTATTTAGTTTGTGTTCTTTATAATTTCGCATTGTTTATTTTCATTGATCGTCTTTTTAATCCAAAAAGTGGTACCTGAGCATGAATCATTCATCTGATTTGATTTCATTTTCATCTTGTCTTCATAAGATCTGTTTTTTGTGGTTTTCAAACCCTAAACCTCTTATGTTTTTTATTGATTTTATTCGAATCCTTTTTTAACATGGAAAATTTCAGTGTGCTTCTTTATCTCGAACTATTCGAACAGTTGGGGCTCAAGCACCAATGCTCTAATGCTTTTTCCGGTAAGTACGATAAATAGGTCGATAAAATGGAAGATTATATGTTTGCCATTGATGAAGATGTGTGGTGATCTGTAAAACAATGTCCTAACATGGCTAGTATCGGTGTTTGTTTTGGTGTAGATGGTGCTGAGATAGCTCTTACTTCGACAGGAAAGAAGATAGAAAATGATCAAAAAAGCCAAATGTGAGCTTCACTATGGAGTTCCTCCAAATATTAGCGTGGACCTGAAGAAATACACAAGTACTCGAGAGATGTGGCTCAAACTGAAGGATCTTTATGAAGGAACTGGAAAGAGGAAGAAATATCAAGTAACAAACAACCTGAGTTTCTTGATACGACTGAAATATGGACGAAACCCTGGAAAAAACCTATGATTAATTTGGTCAAATCATGACAAATCTCGAAAAACATCATATCATCAAAAGCTAACTAGAGATTAACATCACATTCATGCAATCTCAAAGAAAGGAATGGAAGTTCATCACATCAATGGTGAAAAGTCATTAGAAAATCGATTCCTACACTCTAAATGACTTGTCCAATATCTTGAAGACTCACAAAGTTGCTATCATGGCCGGTATCAATGAAAAATCATATGGTGGTCCTCTTGCTCTTGTTTTGAAAAAGGATAATTTGAAACAGTTTGAATATGATGTATCTAATGATTAAGTCATGAGCTAAATGGTTAATAACAACGCAAAAAAATCTATAGGAAACCATCTCCGAATTATCGCTATGGAAACACGGATGGTGGAAATTTTGATTCGAAATTAAATTTCGATGAAAAGAAATTAAATGGTTTTTTTGGGTTTGACTGCAACTACTGCAAAAGCAATAATAGTTTCACAGATGATTACATGTTGAAGAAGAAGAAAATGAAGGAAGAAACTGAGAAAGACAAAGCCTACTATGTTGCGAAGCTTAAGAAGGTTCGAGAGTTGAAAGAGAAAGAATGATCTTTCGCTGATTGTTACGAATGATGAGTAAGAAGGCACTTAAGTGTGGTCTTCTGGGCCGGATGATGAAGAAAAATGTCGACCAACACACAATACTTTTATGGCAACTCACGAAGGGAACTATGCAACTAGAAAAGCTTGTGATTTTTATTCTAATTCTAATAATATTTATGTTCGAAATATCAATATAACATTACATAAAATTGATAATGATTGCACAACCTTAGGGAGGGCATGAGTTTCGGGGAATAAGGATACCATAAAGGCCTAGGAGAAGGCAGTGGAAGTAGGCTTAATAATAGAAGGAAAGAATTTTAAGATCAAAATTCTAGAGAGAGATTTAGTGAATTTAGATGATGAATGAATTTTGTTAAGAAGAGAGAATTTGAAGTTGATTGAGCAATGAAACATCATTTGTAACACTGCTAAGATGTTTGTATGCTCAATTAAAGGAATTTTATTACTCAAAGGGAAGTGATTTGTACACAACAGTTTTTATCCGCACATAACATTTTATGCTTATTGAGTTGTACAATACAACATTTTAACGCACAAATTGTTGTATATGGAGAAATTTTGTTGTGTACGAATCACCTCCCTTACTCAAATGACATTTCAAAAGATCAACATCGAAAATTTCTCACTTTTATTGAATTTTAAGAAAATGAAGATGAAATTGTTTCTGAATGAGAAAGTGTTGTTTCACACACCACACCAAATTTCACTTATAACTATGGTATAAAAGGATACCTAACATTATTTTTGAAACGTATCATTATTCATGCTTTTAATTGGTTCACTAATAGGAGTAGTAGAAGTAAAATTTCTTGGATTCAATTAATGAAAAATCCTCTTATGTAAGACACTTTGTTTTTGTGTTTTCTCTCTAGCTTCTTGCTAGTTTTGCTTTTTATAAAGTTTAGATGTTAAAAAAAAAAATACCTAACATAAATAGTCAAGGAAACTCTTTCTCCATCATAGCAAAAATCAATAATTAAAAGGTTAATATCATAATATGCTAACAAAACTATCTAAAGTGTTTTAGATGTACAATTAAACTAAAAAAAACGTAGTCAAAAGGTAACAAATTCTTAACTATTGTGTTTAAAATACCCTTGTAACGGATAATAGTCATTTCTCCCGGTCACAGTGACATTTTAAAAACAAAATTATAATTTTTTATATTTTGGTGACTTTTTTAGCTCATTGAAAATTTTAAAACACTTTATATAGTTCATTAGCTTTTTTTTTTTTTTAATTTGTTCACAATATCACATTTTTTATTCACTTTATTTTTAGCACTAATATATATATATATAGATATATATATATATATATATATATATATATATATATATATATATATATATATATATATATATAAAAGAGCGTTCAATCGAGAACATTTTTTATTGCGAGAACATTTGAGAACAAAATTTTACCACACAATTTTTTAAAATTAAAATCATCATATAATATTAATATAAACCAAGAAATAAGTAAAAAAAATTACAAAAACCACTAACCAAAACCACTCACCACCCAAACAATACCATCCACCACCACCACCCGTCACCGCCACCCACCTCCACCACCAATCACCACCACCCCCCACCCATCACCCAACATCATCACCACCATCTGCCACCGCCAACCACGACCATCATCCACCACCACTCATCATCACCACCCGCCACCACCAACCCCACCCACCACCATGACCACCACCACCCACCACCACTATCCACCTCCACCACCCACCCACCACTATGACCACCAACTGGCACTACCACCACCCATCACCACCGACCACAACCACCCACCACCATCACCCCCATCCCCACCCACCACCCACCAAAACCACACCCATCATCATCACCACCACCCACCACAACCACCACCACCCATCACTACCACCTAACCACTACCCACCATTATGACCATCACCGCCACTACCACCACCCATAACAACCAATCGCCACCATCACCCATCACCATCACCCACCACGCACCACCACCGTCCGTCACCACCGACCACCACCACCCATCACCACCACTCGCCACCACCACCGATCACCAACACCCGCCACTACCACCGACCACCACCACCCGCCACCATCACCCACACTCACCACCCACTAAAACCACCACCCACCACCCACCACAACCACTACCCACCCACCAACACCACATATCATTACCACCCACCCACTACCCACTATTATGACCACCTGTCACTACCACCAACCACTACCCATCACCAATCACCACCACTCGCCACCACCACCCATCACTAACAATCGCCTCTACCACCCACCTCTAACACCCACCACCCCTTCCCCCGCCACCACCACCCATCACCACCACCAGTCTCTACCACCCAACTCCACCACCCACCACC